GGCCCAGGATCGAGCATTGTTTCGTTCTGCTGTGCATGGGGTCGCTATGAGTCGGTTCCGACTCGATGGCACCTGACAACAACAACAACATTCTTTCACCATACTTATTCATTTTGTATGTTGAGCAAACAATATGAGAAGCTGGATTATATAAAGAAGAACATGGCATCAGGATTGGAGGAAGACTCATTAACAAACTGCAATATGCAGATGATACAACCTTGCTTGCTGAAAGTGAAGAGGACTTAAAATATGTTCTGATGAATATCAAAGAGCACAGCCTTTGGTATGGATTATATCTCAATGTAAAGAAAACAAAAATCCACACTACTGTACTAAAAAATAACATCATGAAAAATGGAGAAAAGATTGAAATTGTCAAAGACTTCATTTTGCTTGGATCTACTATCAACACTCATGGAAACAGCAGTTAAGAAATAAAATGATGTATTGTACTAGTCAAATCTGCTGCATGATATTTCTTCAAACTGTTCAAGAGCTAAGATGTTAGTTTGAGGACTAAAGTACATCTGATCCAAGTCATGATAATTTCAATAGTCTTATATGTATGTGAAATTTGGACAATGAATAAGGAAGACCATAGAATTGATGCATCTGAGTTATGATGTTGGAGAAGAATATTAAAATTACCATCAACTACCAGAAAAACAAACAAACATATGTTGAAATAAGTGTAGCCAGAATGCTCCTATGAAGCCAGGGAGGCAAGACTTCATCTCTTGTACTTTGGACACATTATCAGGAGGTACCAGTTCCTGGAAAGGACATCATGCTTGTTAGAGTGGAGGGTTAGTGAAAATGAGAGAAACTCCCAGTTAGCTGGATTGGCACAGTGACAACAGCAATGGACTCAAGCATAACAACGAGAGTGAGGTTGGTACAGGTCCGGGTGGTGTTTCATTCTATTAGGTATAATATAAGGTAGGAACTCACTTGAAGTCACCTAACAACAGAGTAGTATAAATAAAAGCCTTTGGGAAACAAACATGGATGAATTTCTATTTTGATTCAGGCCCTCAATATTCAAGACCCCGGAGGGTCATTCTTCCTTTATACTTGGCCTCAGGACAAATTTGAAGTAGAAAGGCCCTACCATAAGTGATTACAACTCAATGTAAAGAAAACAAAAATCCTCACAACTGAACAAATAAACAATAATATAATAAATGGAGAAATGATTGAAATTATTAAGGATTTCATTTTACTTGGATTCACAACAAATGCAAATGGAAACAACTGTTTTTTAAAAAATCAAATGATATATTGCATTGTGCAAATCTACTACAGATGACCACTCTTTAAAATGTTAAAAGCAAAGCTGTCACTTTGAGAATTAAGGTGCATCTGACCCAAGTTGTATTTTCAACTGTCTCCTATGCATGTGATAAGTAAACAATGAATAAGGAAGACTGGAGAAGAATTGATACATTTGGATTATGGAGTTGTTGAAGAACAATGAGAATACTATGGGTTGCCAGGAGAACAAAGGAATCTGTCTTGGAAGCTGGACAGTCAGAATAGCCTTAGAAGTGTGGATGGTGAGACTTCTTTTCACAAAGTTTGGATGCGCTGATCAGGAGGAAACAGTCCTACAAAAAGAAGATCATGCTTGGTAGAGTAAAGCAAAAGAAAGGAAGACCCCCAACAAGATGGACTGACACAGTGGCAGCAACTACAGGCTAATACATAACAACAATTGTGAGGATGGTGAAGGACCACAGTGTTTCATTATTGTGATAGTTAAGATTTCATGTCAATTTGCCTTGGAAAGGATTCTCTGTAGTTTAGCAGTTAATATGTAGTTATCACCTCCATGGTGAGATGTAATATCATGTAATATCACCTTCATGAAATGATTTGATGCAATCAGCCCTGACCTGTTGTAAATCCAATGCATTGTAAGTCTTTACTTCTATGATGTTAATGAGGTCAGATGCAATCGACATGATTTGGTTGTATCTTCATCCAATCTCTTTTGAGATATGAAAGAAGAGAGAAGTGAGCAGAGAAAGAAGGACCTCCAAGAAAGAAGAGCCAGAGTGGAGTGAGTCCTTTGAGACTGGGGTCCCTGTAATATGTAGCTCTTAGATCCAGAGAAACACTGATGCCAAGAACTCCAAGGAACGCTGGACATTTCTCCAGAGCCCATGCTCTGAATTTGGACTTCCAGCCTTCTAACCTGTGACAGAAGAAATGTCTGTTTGTTAAAGTTGTTCACTTATAGTGTTTCTGTTATAGTAGCACTAGGTAACTAAAACAGTCATCGTGTGCATAGGGTTGCTATGAGTCAGAGCCGACTTGATGGCACCTAACAGAAACAACAACAAACATAAAAGACTGGGAATTGGAAATTATTCCCAATAATAACTTTATTGTAGTAAATAACTTTCTACATCCCAGCAGAACTTCATCAACTTCACTTTTTTTAAAAACAATTTTATTTTCGGTGCAGAGGAAGTTGACACTAAAGAGTCCTGACAAGGGAGATTTTGGAAAATGACTCATTTGGAATGTGTTGGAGGAGTTTGAAATGGGTGGACCTACAGTTTTTGGAAGAAAAAAGAAAGTGCGTGTGTGTGGTGTCCCTAAGTGTTGCTCTCGCCCTGCTGTAAGTATGCCTTATGGAAGATCATTCTCAGGGAGAGTAACTGGGTCTGGGTCTATAGCTATTGATATCTCCTTTTGGCCTGTAAAAAGGTTTGTTAAGGGGACAGACAGGACTATGGATTGAAAAGTGAAATCTACTCATAATTATGGCAAGATATCAGGACAAATTTTATTTAAAATGATCTTTCCCACTTGCCTAATGACTCTACTCAGACTTGTAAAATATGGGGTTTAAAAAATATGACCATAATCCACCACTTGTCTGTCTGTTTTCTGTGGTGACTAACATGTTGCTGTGATGATGGTATGCCACTGATATTTAAAATACCAGCAGAGTTACCCATGGTAGTTAGGTTTCAGCAGAGCACCCAGACTATGACAGACTAGGAGAAAAACCTGGTAACCTAATTCTAAAAGAAAAAAAAAAAAGTGGCTAATAGAACCCTTCTGAATAACAGTGGAACATTGTGTAAAATAGTTACAGAAAATTAGCCCTTCAGATTGGAAGGCATTCAAAATATGACTGGGTAAACTGGGTAAGAGCTGCCTCTTCAAAGTAAAGTTGACCTTAATGACATGGATGGAATAAAGCTTTCAGGACCTTCATTTCCAGATGTGGCATGATAAATAATGAGAAGAAACAGTTGCAGATATACATTAATGATCAGAATGTAGAGTGTACAAAGTATGAATATAGGAAAATTAGAAGGTGTCAAAATGAAATGGAACATTTAAAAAGAAATATTCAATGAACTGAAGTGGACTGTATTGGTCATTTTGTATCAGACATATGATATACTATACGGGAAATGACAAACTGAAGAGAAATGACATTGCATTCATGTCAGAAAGAAATTTTCAAGGTCTATAAGGAGCTCTGGTAGCGTAGTGGTTACGAATCAGGCTGTGAACCACAAGGTCAGCAGTTTGAAACTACCAGCTGCTCCACAGGAGAAAGATGAGGCTTTCTGCTCCCATAAAGATTTACAGCCTCGGAAAACCTCTTTAGGGTCGCTATGGGTCGGAACTGACTCAACAGCACTTAACAATAACATCTTAAAGTACAGTGCTGTAAGATATAGGATAAAATATCCATATGCTTACAAAGAAGACCAGTTAATATAACTATTATTATTAAAATGTATGTACAAGCTACTAATGCCAAAAATGAAGAAATTGGAGTGTTTTTTGTTTTTTTGTTTTTTACCAATTTCTGCATTCTAAAATTGATCAAACATGCCATTAAGATGCATTGGTGATTATTGGAAACTGGAATGCAAATGTTAGAAACAAAGAAAAGAAATTAATAGTTGGAAAATATGGCCTTGGAGACAGACATAATGCTGGAGATTGCATGATAGATTTTCGCAAGACCAATTACTTCTTCACTGCAAATACCCTTTTTGCAATAAGATAAATGGCAGCTATACACATGGACTTCACCAGATGGAATACACAAGAATTAAATCGACTTCATCTGTGGAAATAGACAACGAAGAAGAACAATATCATCAATCAGTATAAACACAGGGGCTGACTGAAGAAGAGACAGTCAATTATTCCTATGCAAGTTCAAGTTGAAGCTGAAGAAAATTAAAACAGTCCCATGAAAGCTTTGAATAAATCTCACCTGAATTTAGGGGATGAATTGAACACTAATGTCTGAAGACCACACAAGTTGTTGAGTCAAGGACATATCATACATGAAGTAAGCAAGAGGTCATAAAAAGATAAGAAAGAAAAAATGACCCAGATGAATGTCAGAAGAGATTCTGAAATTTGCTATTGAACAATGAGTAACTAAAGCAAATGGTAGAAATGATGACATAAAAAAACTGAACAGAAGATTTCAAAGGTTCGCTTGAGAAGACAAAGTTGTATAATGAAATGCACAAAGACCTGGAGTCAGAAAACCTAAAGAAAAGAACATGCTCAACATTTCTCAAGTTGAAAGGACTGACCAAAAAAAAAAAAAAAAATTCAAACCTTGGTTTGCAATAGTAAATGATTCTATAGGCAAAATATTGAAGGAGGCAAAATATTGAAAAGCAGGGCTCCAGAAACTGATGGGATACCAAGTGAGATGTTTCAACAAATCGACGCAACACCGGAAGAGCTTGCTTGTTTTTGCCAAAAAAAAAAATGTGGAAGATAGGTACCTGGCCAACCCACTAGAAGAAAGCCATATCAGTGCCCATTCCAAATAAAGGCGATCCAACAGAATGTAGACATTATTGAACATTATCATTAATGGCACATGAAAGTAAAATTTTGCCCAAGATAATTAAAAAATTGTCACAGTAGAATATTGATAGGAAACTACCAGAAATTCATGCTGAATTTAGAAGAGGATGTAGAAAGAAGCATGCCATTACTGATGTCAGATGGATCTTGGCTGAAAGCAGAGAATACCAGAAAGATGCTTACCTGTTTTTTATGACTATTCAGAGACATATGATTATGTGGATCATAACAATTTATGTATAACGTTTCAAAGAATAGGAATTACAGAACATTTCATTGTGTTAATGTGTAAACTATACACAAACCAAAAGGCAATAATTTTAATAGTACAAGGAGACACTGCATGGTTTTAAATCTGAAAAGTGTGTGAGGTTTGCATTTTTTCACTGTAATTATTCTATCTGTATGCTGAGCAAATCATCTGAGAAGCTTGACTATATTAAGAAGAATGCAGTCTCAAGATTGCAAGAAGAGTCATTAACAACTTGTGATATGCAGAGATATAATCTTGCTTGCTAAAAGCAAATAGGACTTGAAACAGTTAACTGAAAAATCAGAATGGATTATGTTGTTAAGTGCCATTGAGTCGGTTCTGACCCATAGCGACCCTGAATAAGGTTTCCGAGGCTGCAAATCTTTAAGGGAGCAGAAAGCCTCATCTTTCTTCCGAGGAGCAACTGGTAGTTTCGAACTGCTGACCTTGCGGTTCTCAATCCGATTCATAACCACGATGCTGCCAGATCTCCTTAGAATGGATTATATCTCGACATAAAAAAAAAAAAAATAATCCTCACAACTGGACCAATAAGTAACAACATGATAACCAGAGTAAAGATTGACATTGCAAGGATTTCATTCTACTTGGATTTACAATTAATTCTCATAGAAGCAGTAGTCAAGAAGTCAATGACATATTGCATTGTGCAAATTTGTTGAAAAAGACCTCTTTACAGTGTTCAAAGCAAAGATGTCATTTTGAGGACTGAGGTGAGTCTGACTCAAACAATGGCATTTTCAATAGCGTCATATGCATGGGAAAACTGGCAAATCAATAAGATTAATAATCAAAATGGATGCATTTGAATTATTGTTGGTAAAGAATGTTGTACATACCATGGACTGTCAGAGAATGAACACATCTGTCTTGGATGAAGTACAGCCAGAATGTTCCATAGAGGCAAAGACTGCCGGAGTTCTTCTCAAACTTTGGACATGACCCTGCAGAAAGACATCAATGTTTGGTAGAGGGCCAGCAAAAAAGAGGAAAATCTTCAACAATATAGATTGACACCGTAACTGCAGCAGTGGGCTCACACATAGCAGTGATAGGGAGGATAGAGCAGGGTCATATGGTATTTTGTTCTGTTGTACATAGGGTTGTTGAGTTGGAACCCACTTGAGGGTACCTAACAACATAGCCATAATGCACTCCTTTGCTTTTTAAGCCCAAAGGAAACTGTCTTCATGGACACTCTGAAAAATATGTTGACCAACAAGGAGCTCTGGTAGCGTAGAGGTTACGAATCGGGCTGCGAACCTTAAGGTCAGCGGTTTGAAACTACCAGCTGCTCCGTGGGAGAAAGATGAGGCTTTCTACTCCCGTAAAGATTTACACCCTCGGAAACCCTGTACAGGGTCGCTATGGGTCGAAACTGACTCGACGGCACTTAACAACAACAACAACAAGGTGTTCTGTCAAGTCTTTTTCATAGTCCTATGTCCCAGGCTTCAAGAACTCTTCTTCCTAAGAGAAGTTAAGATACAATAATTCTAATAATAGTTAACTGTTATGTTGTACTTACAATTTGCCTCACACTGTCCTAAGCACTTTACATATATTGATTTAATTTAATTCTTGTTGTTGTTGTAAAGTGTTGTCAAGTCAGTTCCAACTCATAGAGACCCTGTATAGGGTTTCTAAGGAGTGGCTGGTGAGCTTGAACCACTGACCTTGTGGTTCAAACCAACCTTGCAGTCCAGTGCATTAACCTGCAGCACCACACCAGGACTCTAATTTAATTCTTACAGCAAGCAATCCAAATGAGTTGTTGTTGTTGTTAGGTGCCATTGAGTTGATACCAACTTACAGCAACCT